CACTAATATGCGTGTCTGTGGATTAAACGGCAAAAAAAAATAGTTTTTTTCCTACAGTGAAGCGCTATTGATTTCAGCCGTCCAATCTTAACTGGACGGTTGACAGTGCATACACTCTTTGAATTTATTCCTTTTTTTAACAAATCTGATCGAGCTGATATTTGGGGCTTCTACACTTCGGAGTAGGGTGCACTGGATAAAAATATTAAAAATGTTTCCAACAATTTAAAATGACCAAAATACCACTAAAAATTTCATGGGTATTTTCCTCATTTTAATTGTTGGAAATACTTTTTAAATATTTGTATGTGTAAATGCCCCAAATTTTAGCTTAATCTAATTTCTATGACAAATATTAAAAATAAATTGAAGAATTACACTCTAGACCACCCGATCAAAGCATGTTAGGATGGCAATTAGTTGATTATCCTTAGTCAGCCTATTCTACATGCCAAAGGTGCTAGTGCCACTTACCTAGCAAAGTATATTCATTTTCAGTGAGAGAAGCAAAAGTTTTAGTGGCTTTTATCACATTTTATAATTTTCAGAACCCTGGTTTCTTGGGGCTGCTCACACCATGCAAACTTACTAGGCGATTAATGTCCCAACTGCTACCCTGTAACTTGTCAAGCAAAGCTCAGTGAGAGAAGCAAGCTCTACTGGCTTCCGAATGACTTAACCTATTCACATAACGCCAATTGACTTAGCTATGTGCCTAACTACTGTCCTGCCACAGACAGTCTCTCTGGATGCACACCAACTTTGATGCAACAATTGGCGTTTGAAGTAACATAAACCGAAAACAGGATATCCTTAGACAAGGCAGCCTTTCCAAGTGTAATCCACTTACCCCAACAAAGAAACTAGGTCTTCCAAGAGGCCGTTAATCTTCTTCAAAACATGGATCTTTCAAAAAATTCAACCATTGGGTCTTGAAGACTGCAATTGGGCCTGTGGGAAGCCCAAGGGAATCAGAAGAAAGGCACCCTACTTTTGAGAGAGAGAGAGAGAAAGAAAGAGAGTATGAAGCTCTTCCTTAATATAACTCTAAGGTTTTGCATTGCTGCCAGAAAATGGACAGAGCTAGTCCACCTAAGCTGGCATTTCCTTTCAAAATAAAAGATTGCAGTCTGCGTACTGAAGATGACAGACACAGGGACCATTTGGTCAAACACTAAACCCGCTGAGAACATTCAAGTATTGGCTCCCTTTAATCATGCAGCTGAAAGCTCCTTCCACCATGGCAAAAGAGTAATGGTGACAGAGATCCTTGTCTTACCCCTAAAACTCCCAAAGAAACCAGAGCAAATGTTGATCAAAACAAAGAACTACAGGGTCAAGAAGGATACCCATTGATGAACACTCTCCACCAAACACCACCAACCCAAGTAGCAGGTCAAGGAAGGCCCATCCAAATTGGTTCTGCCCGTTTTCCAGGTCCGACTCACATATCACTTATTGTTAGTCTACCTTATATCAGGAGCACAAAAGGTCAAGAGAAAATAGTTCAAAATCTACATCCTTCACATGAAGGATTTATAGGAGGCTAAGATGATGTGGCCCGAGACTTCATGAAGTCTGGTCGATACTACTTTGACCATGATTTGTTCACCCTCTACACAAGACAAACAGTGTGATTGTCATTACTATTTATTGCAAGCACTATTGGGAGAGGTTTCTTAATAAGTTACAAGCAAGGCTCATGTCTTAGTTCTGCCAGAAGACGTAGATCCAGTACTGGAAACCTTACGGTAGTTTGAAAATTCCATTTTAGACCCTAATTACGAAATTTAAAATTTCAAAAAGGTGCAAATAGAGCAGGTCTATAAACACTTGCAAATCTTGAAAATAGATGGTCCAGGTAACTTGTTACAAGATGCACTATATTTAGGACTCGAAATTCTTTTCTTTATATCCATACATCTCAAGTTGAGATGATCAATTGAATAGTTTTCCAACTTCGGAACACTCTTGTCCACTGGATTTTAAGGTGCACCTTAGTGTTAATATACAAAGTCGCAACCTTATATAAGCTTTTTCCTTTACTATTTTCGGGATAAAGATGACGAAGATCCTATAAACCCCTTGTTCACATGGGCATCTTTGTGGAACTTCCTGAATACCTCCATTTCAAATTTCTCCACATTCCACTTTGTATTTCTCCACTAATTCTTGATTATTCTTGGAAAATGCCAACTTGATCCCAGCCAGATACAAATATTCTCAAGCAGACTTCTTCCTCAAGCTTATTCTGCATCCTCAGCGGCATCTGCTAGAAGAGAAGCAAATACTGATCTATTCCGATCAGATATAGGCTAAGGATTTGATATCTCATTGCCTCCGCTGAATCATTTTGGTCCTCATAACCACCCTATCCACTTAAAAAGGAATGGATTTACCTCTCATCCCACCATTGTCAATCCTCTGGAAGAAATCAGTATTGTAATTAACTTCATTATGGTGTACAACGCTACTTTAAGATGTCTATACATTCAGACTCATTTCCAAGCTTCAAAAACCTTCTTTCTCCTCATTGTGACCTAGCTTAAACAACTCTTAAATAACCTAGTCCTTTCTTACTTCCAAGAAACCAAAATGAAATGATTCCACTCCTGCACAGGGGTCTTTACTACTTAAGTTCCATGCCGGGTCTAAGCACATAGCTTTTGCTTGGGTTTTGTGCATCACTAGGCAACCAATCTTTTCATGCTCAAGGACTCTAGACATATGTTATCCAGCCCCAAGGACAAAGATCAATGTTTCAAAAAGCACTAGGCGGCACCTAGGCGGTCGAGGGGGTCCAGGCTGCCCAGCGCCTAGGCAGGCGCCCAGAACTTGGGAAGCCTGATAGAAAATATTTTATTTTTGGGTTTTCTCTTTCTAAAATAGCCTCTAATGAGTTTTAGGTTTCAAATGAACCTAAAACTCACAATTTTGTCCATTTAGTATTAAAAAAAGACCCAAAAATACCATCAAGGAGATGTATATCTGCCCCTGGGTGGGGCGCAGGCCCTGGACAGCCTAGGCGGGTTTAGGCAGGAGCCCAGGGATATCCGGCTAGGCGGCAGCCCAGGCGCTGGGCAGTTCGCTTTTTGAAACAATGACAAAGACGTGAGGCAAATTGCCAGTGTAGGATGGAAAATGGTCTAACAAATTGCACAAAGCTGTGACTACAATTCTCAGTGATGCTACATATATTTTGAAAGTATCATATGCAGATTTGGCATCTATTTTCAAGTGTCTGTGCATCATGGCTTGGAACATGTTCCTTTTGCATCATTGGTACAATTTCATAGAACATCTGAACTCGTTAGGTGCCGTACAAATAAGGAGGGGTGGAAAAGGTGCATACCCAAATGAGGTATTTCAGTAAGTATGGCCCAGCCTAACTGCAGCATAAAGTATTTTTGTATTTTCTTCTGTGATGGTATAGAAAGGAATAGAATCCTTTTTATTTCATGATTAACATCATTTAGTACTAACAAGAAAAGAAGTAGGTGACTCAGTCAGCACAATTGCTTAGGCTACTGGCACACCTAAACAATTACGGTGCTTGGCCAATGCTTTGGAAGAGATAGAATATAGGACAGCCAGGTTACAAATTACAATATCTCATGTGAGAAGAGAGGCTAATCAACTGTCTGATTCTCTTGCTCGAGAAGGCGAAAGACAAACCTCCATCGGCATAGAATATACTTATATTCTGAGCACAAATATGGTGATATAGGATATCAAATTTGCAAGTGGCATGGGATATTAAATTTGGAGAGAGTATGTACTTAGAGTAGGCGACTATAGCTCACCCATAATTTTTTGGTTCAATTTTGTAAATAGAGTGTACTTGGATTATAAGTGGATATCTTGGATACATTAACGAGGGACCTTGTGAAACAACAAATAATACGTTATCGTGATCAATTTAGTTGAATAAGTGAACTAGCTACATCCCAAGCATAATCTGATACATGTATGCTTTTTTAGGAAGAGATGAATTTTTTTTTAAAATCAAGGAAAAAGAGCATCATTCAGAGTAACTAGAAAAGCAGTATACAAGGTAAGGACTGAATGCCACATTAAGTAAAAGTAATACACCTCTATCATGTAGAATAGAAATTAACAAGAAAATTAGAAATATTAAGACAATAATTTTCTATTACTAAATTTTGAAACAAACTGAGCGAATATAAGTCTAATCAAGTAAGAAAGCCAAGAGTAAAAGCAGTGACCAAGTAAGGAAACATATACCATATTAACAAGAAAAGAAGTATACAAGGTAAGGACTGAATGCCACATAAAGTAAAAGTAATACACCTCTATCATGCAGAATAGAAATTAACAAGAAAATTAGAAATATTAAGAAAATAATTTTCTATTACTAAAGTTTGAAACAAACTGAGTGAATATAAGTCTAATCAGGTAAGAAAGACAAGAGTTAAAGCAGTGACCAAGTAAGGAAACATATACCATATAATAGGCAATGAGCTCCACCAAAGCAATGTAACCACCAAAAGAACATAAAGTCAAGCCGATAGATCGACAATCCATAGAAGTTACATCCTTCAAAATATCCCTCCCTACACAATGAGGTGCATTGGCATGCATCTCTATGCTGTCACAACCACAGATATTAACATGGTTTGAACTTCTTCCCATGCTCTCTGCAAAGGATGACAGCAAGCAATCTGAAAAAATGGATGACTCCTGAGGGTGCTGGGTTTCCATGATAGAACAATCCCGTATCTTTTCTAATAGCAACTGTGTCACTGTATCTAGACAAGTTGCCCCTTCCGCAAAAGGGCACACCTGACATGGAAGAAACCTTTCATCATCATTAGGTAGAACACAAGAAAGAGAAAGCGAACCGTCTAGTTTATCCTTCTTCTCAAGGGCGGAAACAATAGATTTTACAACAACAATAAACAAATTGTGATCTTTCTGTACAAAGTATTCAGTTCCACATAAGGAAGCAAATGCATGGAGTACAGTTAGAATCCAAAAAGAATTCTTCTTGCATGATCGAAGGATATTGTATGACGCCTCATAAAGGAAGGCCACATAACCGATAGCTACACAAATTGATCCTAAAATGGTAACTGCAGCAATCAACTGGCTTATTGTAGCTGTTCCAGAGGAGATTGAAATATTTCGGCCGTTCAAATTTGTTCCACTGGCACTTGAAGTACAACGAAGAAACGGCTCACGTGGTGAATTGCTCATTTCCAGAAGAGTTCCATCAATTAGAAAGTTCCCAATAAGACTTAGTAAGATGTCAAACTCACATGGTTTAAAGAGTACGGACCTTGACTCCATCTCAATGAACACTGCAAAAAAAAAAAACATTTATATCAATGAATCAAGAGATGGTAGACTCGACCAACCTGCCCTATAGATTGGTTGGCTATGTTTGACAACAATGACTGTGACTCAATGTAAAGAAGTTAAAGATTGGGAAGGTCTAGTAGAAGGGGAAGCTGACTGAATTAAATTAAAACATTCTTGAATCATTTATTTCCAAAGTGATCTTGAAAATATTAATTACTACTAGCAAAGGATGGAATCTATAGAAAATATTTATTAAAAGAAAAAAAAAAGCCTACAAGGATGGAATATGGCTTTTTCATGAGATTAATACTCTCAACGGTATATATATAAAGCTTTTAAGTTTCGAGAGTAACTATTACTCCTCAAAATATTGATACATGAAGATGACCGATTGCATAGAAAAACTAGCAACCTCCCCCACAATAGCAAAAGCCAAAGATATTTATTATACACATGTTTAGGAATGACATGACTACATGTTGTGAACTTCTGTAGAACTGGAGATTGTATTTATCTTAGGAAAATTACAGAAAAACACTATTGTGGTCAGATTTTCCACCAAATTTTCACCAAAATTGGACTAAATTTTGGATCTAAACTCTGTAAAACGAGAAAAACATCCCCTCGGGGGAAAAAAATCTATTCTAAAGTTAGCTTACCAAATATGAGAAGCAAATAACAAAAGCTGGTGGCAACTTTTCCAAAGCAATAAAACTCTTATCTACCAAAGCCAAAGATATAAAACTTCGACTGCCACACAATAACAAGAGCTTCATCAAGTGCAAAAGTACACAAATAATATGATACTGACCTTTGTGCATTTGTATTTTCAAAGAGTCCAAGTAAAGGGAAGGTTCTTCAGATGCAGAGCTTCCACTGTTCCCCCATCGAATAATAGAGTAATTATAAAGCAACAATGAAAAGAAGACACAAGCCTTTTCCCTGCACCATAGTAAAGACAAATGTCGTCAAATTCTACTTGTTAATGGTCTTCCACCAAACATCAGATAAGTAAGCACTGGAACCAACTAATCATAAATCAAAACATAAATATTCAAAAGATTAAAATATGTTACTTACTCAGCAGAAAGATCAATTTGACATGAAAGGGCGACCACAAGTTCCTCAACAATCCAATCCTTCCAACAAATCTTAGCATTCTGTGATATGCAAGTTTCCATGGCAAAATATATTCTAGAGATGCTTCTTTCATCCTTGATATTTGGAAACAGGACACAATGCTTAGGAGTTCCGATTAAAGTATTTTCCTTGCTATTTAGAAAGAAATCCCTTGCCTTCTCGGAGCTACTAGAAGAAATAGGCATGCAAGTAGAAACGGTCATCTTTAATTCAGATTCCAGGATCCTGTCATTAGATTCTCCGGATTTGCTTAAAGAGCCACCAATATCAGGCAAGTTAAAGTTAGCCGTTGCTTCTTCGATTGACTGCATAGGCTCTCCAAAGTTACAAAATTCGGATACTCCGAGAACCTCATGATTTCCCTTCCTATTGGTATCAATTTCAGTATCAACGACATCAGAAGTCTCAGGAAGGAACAGATTATCTTTCTCAGTTTCCAACATCTTGAAAATGACTTGTTCTACAAAATTATCAGTCCCATCTACTGCAGATTCTGTTATATAATGGCATGGGATTTCAGGCAACGTAGGCGATAGAGGTGATTCCATGGCTGCCTGAAAATATTTCTCGTCTGCTTCATTATCCAAAGCCAGCAACTTCATTACATCAGTAGAGATTATGTTTTCAAAGCATGGAGCAGGTGACTGTTTCTCAGTGACCTTCATTTTCTTGTGGGATCTATCAGCTTTTTCATTTCCAGAAACAAGTGGTACAGAAACAAGCTCTCGCCTTCTTTTTGAAGTCTTGCCATCACCTAGAGAGGCTAAGGGAAGAGGCCTATGATTCCCATAATTCGGTATACCCTCCAAAGATGATTGGTGCTTCTCCATCTTCAAGGGCAATCTAGGTTTAGAATCAGCCATGGAACCCTCTAATTCATGTGCTCTCATTGTCTTCTTTTCACGTCTACGACCTTTGTCAGACTGAGATAGCTTAATATTACCTTCAGGCAACGAAGTCAAAGCTGTACTCACCAGATTTACTGGATGATTCGCCGAGACAAAGGGCTTCCCAAGCTCAACTGACTCTCCAAGATTTTCCTGGTGACCCAATCCAGTTACTTCACCTGACAATTTCGAAGAGACATGGTCTTGCCTTGAGGTAGTCTTTGCCAATTGTGATGAATTGATCATAGAACAGGCACATCTTTCCTGTGAGCCGACGAATTCCCTATCAGAAAAAGATGTGGTAGTGGAAAATATGGCAGAACTTTGTGACTTATTTCTGAAAGACCCTCCAATTGGAGACTCCAACTCAGAATTAATACCTGATATGGGACTAGTAGAGCTCCCAACTGAAAATGGAAGCAGGGATCCAGCATTCTCGATTGTTGGCTTAGAACAGTTCAAATGATCCAAATTTTCCCATTGAGGTGGGCATAGTTTTTTTCCACTATGACAAGATTTGTAGTCTCTTCCTATTGATGATTTCCCCTTGTTATGAGAAGGTGTCTGCTGTGCATTAGCCTGCCAAATGAAACAAATTAGAGCTCCAAAGTAATAAGAGTTAGGATAGACATTGCATAGGTTTTCAACAAGCCTCAACATTATATGTTTTCATGAAAATCTAAAGCTTAGGGTAGATTTTATTATTGTCCAGCAAACTAAAAATTGTGTTCATCACTGTCATGAAAATGATGGATGGCAATGGAGAAAGCAGGACCCAACATTTGGAGTCACGTCCAGTTATGTTGGATCCCATTATCTCACCATAAGTGTTTTATCATTTCATTGGACGGTGATGCCCATAGTTGATTATGATTCTCCTTTAAGTACTATTAACAAACCTCAGTAGCTGATACATTCGTATCTTCAATGTCATAAGCCAAACGACTCTCAATAAAGCTCAGGTGATGCACATTGTGAATGCAATTTTGCTTTAAAAGAAGTATTTCTTGCTGCAGTAACGTCTTTTGTTTTCTTTCTTCATTGGCCATTCTTTCTGCAAGCCTTAACTGTTTCTTTTCCAACTTCAGTTGCTGCTTTAGTAACTTTTTCTGCATTGATCTATTCCATCCTTTATCATCACATGGGACAGACGAATTTTCTTGGGCTTCAACATGAGAAAATTTCCCAATACCCATCCCTTTGGGGATGAATCTTTGAAGCTTTCCCTCAGCTGCTTTTCTTTTTTGTGCCTCCTCTAATTTTTCAGACAAATGGTGAGCATGGTTCTTTTCATGCAATACCTTTCTTCTCTCTTCTTCCACAAGCTTCATGTGTTCCTCTGCTTTCCGCATCTCTGAATCTGCTCGTTGTTTTTCATTATCAGCCCTCTTTTTCTCTACCTCAGCCAATCTCTTTGCTTCCTCTGCTTTTTTCCTCTCAGATGCTGCATTCACTTTCTCTCTATCAGCTTCTCTTCGATATTGTTCTGCCTTCTTCTTCTCTAAGTCAGCTTGATTTTTTCCTTCTTCAACCTTACCCTTCTCCATTTGCACTTGCTTCATAACATCAGCAGCTTTCTTCTTCTCAGCCTTAACCTGATTTCGTGCAGCTTCTGCCTTCTTCTTCTCTACCTCCAACTTCTTTCTCTGCTCATCGAGAAGGTCTCTAAGTCTTTTCAACTCTGAGTCATCTTCTAACATTAGGCTTTTAGCGCTACATGTATTGGCCTGCTTTAAAGCAGACAACTCTTCCTTCAGATGGCATAGCTCTTCCTGCAACTTTAATCTCTGACTAACTTCATTTTCTTTCAGTTCTCTCTCTAACTGTGCTTCTGATTTCGCAGCTTCGTAATCTAAAATGTGGACATTGGTTTAACTGGGTCAAAATCTCATAACGTGGTAGCTTCGAAACAAAAGATGAAACAGTGAAGACATTAATAAATGATTGTGCACATGCCAAATGCAGAAAAGGGATATAAAAATCAAAGAGAGAAGTACTATATTAGAAAACAATCAAGAGAAGTATCACATCAGATTTCATAGCCAAAGGAAGCATCCGCCAGTAATTGTTACACAAGCAACATAAGTGTATGATACCAAGGGCATAAATAACACGACTATGCAGAAGCCTGATCATGGTTGAAGAAAATATTCATATTGTGACACAAAATGCAAAAAGGGATGCTGCTTCTCCTCTGCAATCAACCCCTTGTTCTTAGAGAAGGCAGAAACCATAGGCTCCCCAGATATCGATCTTTCCACCATGTTTTGAGGGAAGCAAAAACCATATCCAATATACTTGCTAATGACAGTATAGTGAGTATTGCATCATTACATATCATGCACCATTCAGATGCCACCATGGCATCTCTTGGCACCCTTGTACAGATTGCAAATCTTCTTAAATTTCATTATCAAAGGAAAAGAATTACAGAGAATACAACCACTGGCTAGTCAGCAGAAGCGGCCCATAACCATATGTCACTTGTGAATAGACAGACAAGGCCTCTACACAATCCTCAAGCTGATCGTCATCAGGGTGAGCATCCCATTAGTTGCACTTGGCGTCATAATCTGACCGCCATCTACTTCAGCAACCTATCATTGTAGTGAACATGTACCAATGACTAGGACCGATCAGCATTTAAGTGATTGCGCTCGACAATGTGCATGTAGCCCTAAATGCTCCAGCATCTCTCTGCACAGGACAATTTGATACTATGATACAACACCTTAACTGCAAAATAATTAAGGAGTTGTATCAGAGCATCAACTCTCAAAGCATCAATTTTCTTGCAATTAAATTATTGTTACTCTCAAAGCAAAGAGATGCTGGAGCACTTACAGTTAAATCCATAGTTAAATCAGTTTGAGTCATTGGTAATTGTTCACTACAGTGATAGGTAGTACATTGCGGTCAAATTATGAAGCCAAGTACAAACAATGTGATACCCACCCTGATGGAGACCACCTCGTGAATGAAGTATATGCTTTGGAGGCATTGAACGAACACTTTGATGCTAACGATGATGCCCATCCGCCTACTCCACTACTGAAACATCCCTTTAAGAGCCAAATGAGCCAGCCTCCAACTAGTAAAGGTTCATCATCCTCAGTTGTAGCACAAAAGTTCCTAAACATTCAAAGATGCAAGAGGACAAGATAGAATGTTACCATACCACATGTTTACCCTCCCTCCCTACACACCTACTTATTAACGAAAAGTATAACTCACTTTTATTCAATTTATTTCGTAGTGCCTCATCTTTTTTATACTTCTTATAGATTTTTTTGAGGGAATCTATTGCATGAACTATGCCAAAAAACAAAAGAGCTTCTCAAGTAGTTTTAAAAAAAAAATTGAACTCAAATTTTTAAAAAAATTATTGTTTGTTATGTATCTTCCAATGATTTATATCAAGGCCCTCTTGTATGAACGACTTGTAAAGCACCTACAAGGTCATTAAACTCCATAACCCCAACAAACATCTCCTTTTCTATCATTTGAGAAGCCCAACATGACTCCCTTTGCCAAAAAATGAAAAACAAAAATTAACTTTAACGAATGATAAAACAAATATATAAAACGAACTACAAGAGACCAAGAAAAAGACTATTCCAATATCACATTCCAATAAATCACCCCAAAATTTTCTAGGGAATCCACAATCGTATTGACTTATCTATGCCCATGCAAGAGATATTGCCAGTGTCTTGAAAGTCTCCATTAGTATCAAAAAAATACCAATGCCTAGATAGGAGTCAACCCCACATGCTCACAAGTCACAAATGAAATAAACTCAAGTCTATCTTCATAAACAACGAAATGAAAAAATTTTAGTGCTTGTATGTATGGGTGCATCAACATATAGAAATGAGACTATGTCAACCATAAATTGCATATTAAGACTACAATAAGATAAGTTAACCTTTCCACACAAAATAATATATTAAAAGTTCTCAGTTCTAAACAAACAGTTTGAATGGGGTGCTTATCTTATCTTTCATAGAATGGAACTATTTAAGCAAAGGTTTATAAGAGTTAAAAAAAATTTGAAGAATCCAACAGATAAATTTTCAGTCCGGTGGAAAATTCAAATAGGATATCAAATTGAGAATATGTAGGATTCAGTTTCTTTATGAAGAATATGTAGGATTCAGTTTCTTTATAAAAAATATGTAGGATTTAGTTTCTTTATCAAAAATATGTAGGATTCAGTTTCTTGCCTTTCTGGAGACTACGAAATTTCTTTTGCAGGTCCTCCATCGCCCTCTCCAAGATCTTTATACCTTTCCTCAGTGTCAATCTCCCATGTTCAGATGTCGAGAGCTTCTCTTTCCACTGTTTCAAATAACAACGGCAAGGATACAAATCAAGTTCCATGCAGGAAACCTTTCAAGATGCACAATCTGACATAAATCGCTGAAAGTTTGATAAATGAAGACTGGAATAAACATAAACTGGTAGAAATACCTTTGTGCAGCATGATTTCAATGCTTCCACTGCCTCATCCTCAACAGCCGCCATTGTGTGAACTGAGTGAGAGAGAGTGAGTGAGAGAATATTTACTCAACGAAAACTATACGCAGTGAATGGAAGGGTTGGCACGACACTGAATCTGGTTTTGCCAATGTTTGAATGTGTGTAGCACATGTAGGAGAGAGAAAGAGAGAAAGGAGATTCAGCAATCAACAAATGCATAAACAAATAAAATACACTATACTGTAACAATGATAAAGAAAATAATCGTGAGCTAAGAGAAAGAAGACAGAGAAAGAGGGGGGGAAGAAGAGGGTTTAAAGGTAATGTTGCATAAATAAACGGTGACTCGATTCAAGACAATACATGGTTAGGTATTAGGTGGCAATGGGGCATCTGCAAATGCATAAAACAGGTTTTAGAGAGAGAGAGAGAGAGAGAGAGAGTTGGTAATGACGGAAATTTGAGTTTTAGGGTTAAATTGGCTCAAAATAACAGAGCACTGACGTCTTATGGAGAAATGGAGCAGAACCAGGGTTTTAGCCGAGTCTTCATATGAACCGAGTATAAATTCTAATCAACTCCAGAAAACCAGAAAGAGAGAGAGAGCAGCGTCCAGCAGTGAAATAAAACGGAGTTCAACGGGAGAGAAAGAGAAGGTTTTTGTAGTCGTTTTGGAGGAACACAAAACCCCATGTAGAACCTCTTCGGAAAAAATTCTCACTTTATTTGGATTTAATCTCTTTTTTTAGGGCGAGACCATGCAATAGTTGTTTTTTGAGATCGGTCAGACTCGCATAGGCCGCAAGATGGGAAATTTGAAAGCTTAGAATTTTTTATTTTTTATTTTTTTTTGTAATTTTTTTTTTTTATTATTTAGTATTGAGAGGTTTTGTGTTTGATATAGTCAGTGAAATGTATTTTGGATTTTGAGCAATTACTAGTCCCAAGCTGTACATACCGGTCCCGAGCATGAAAGATAAAAGTTATGTCAAGCAAGTAGTGGAATATCTTTCTATGAATCCTGAAAGGATAGAACATTATTCGTGTAGCCTAACTTTAAATAGTTAGGGATAAGGTTTTGACGACTATGATTTTGGACTTTGAGCCAAGTCAATAATATATATCAACAGCCTAATTTTATATCTAATGATTATGGCTGTGGCATTTTTGTATTAAAAATAAAAGAAAGTATATAATGAGATCATTTACTTTTGGTATAAGGTGGTCACAATAAATCTTGACTATTGGATGTGAAATTGAGGGGCTATATTTATTTCATTGATTAAGCTCAAAGTTCAAAAAAAAAATTTATTAAACTTTATGATACACTCAAGTATACATTCCTTAAAAATAAACAGTCTCATAGCATTATTTTTATGCATAAAGTAAGAAGCAAACACGGTGGCCTTAGAAGAGCAAAATCTAAATGGCATTCATTAGTGCTTTCAAATCACTTCGGAACGAACCTTTGTAGTTTTGGAGCTCAAAATCCAGTAACTTGAGAGTCCGCCACGAGCCAAGGGAACAAAGTATAATGCCCGTGGTAAACATATCATTCCTCAATCAAACTCCAAGAAATTTATACCATGGCCTCCCTATCCAGAACCAGCATCGACATAAATATGCACCATCTTTCATGGGCATTAAGGCCCAATTCAAAAGTTCACTGCAAGACAAACGAGGTCCAGTGCATAGGAATTCACAGGGATCAACATCATCGCCTTCAATATCCTAAATAGAGTTGGAATGCCCCAGGCCTGGGCCATTCCAACACTGGCCTTAACCAAGCCTAAATAGAGTTGGAAAATAGCCAAGCCTGGGCCATTCCCTGATCGGCTGGCCCAAGCCATGCCTTACCACGTAAAATTAAAGGATAGAGCAAAATAGATAAAAAAAAATTGAGGGCGGGCTGGGCTTATATTGGCTTGACTCAAATCTAGCTCTTGAGCCACTTTTTGTGTCCCAGACCATAACGGACTGGGCCCATCCGAACCACCCACCCGGCTCATTGCCACCCCTAATCCTAAAGTGTTCCATCAAGTGCTGCAACCAGATGCTATGGTCGATTGGTGAGAGCGAGGGTACAAGCACCCAGTGATCAATTCAACCGAGACAAAGGAGGCCGAGTGACACAGGAAGTTCTGGCTTAGTGGTAGACGTATCATTTTGGGTATGAGAGACCAAACGGATCCAATCCTTGAAATTTGTTCTAAAAAATCGAACAAAGCTGACCTACTCTTCTTTTACTACACAGGCAAAGACACAGGAATCCAAGGCTACATATCCCCTATTAAGTTGCATCAATTATGCTATCACCCCATCAAAGTGTCCCTCATTTGGGAACATAGCCGTCCGTAAATTCGCTACATGTCTAACTTAGACAAGCCCTTAAAGTCATAGTCATGGTCACATCCCAAAGAAATTGCACCATCTTGTTAAAATTATTTTAAGTGAAATTTTAAAAATTATATTAGTTTTTTTTTATCTTATTTTGAGTAACGTAGTGAGGTTGTATTTATAATTGTGCAATAGGAAGTTATGAAATTAATTGGTGGTTAATAATTATTATTGTAAACATGTAGATATTATTGTAAATGGATAGCTATTCTAATAAATTTGGTTGCAATAACCTTTATTTAAAGCGATATGTGCAGCAGGAAAGGTGGGTAACGTATATTGCATTTGTTATATTTTGTATGCAAGAAAATTATATAAATATCAATTATATGTTGCGTTATAACGGATTTACCAAATAGTTTTCATTGTTATATGTATGTCCGTTTTTTACCTTTTATAGCGTAATTTTTTTAAAAATACGACTTTACCCTTTTTCAGATGTTGAACAATCGAATTGAAGGGCTTTTCGAATGTTCAACATCCGAAAATAGATCGAAAGTTTAATGTTCACATTCCCATTTCAAGTGTTGAACATCCGAATTGAAGGGTTATGTCAATACATTGTATTCATTGTGAAAATGGTTTCGGATGAACATCCGAAAATATGACATTTTTGGATGTGGAATATCCAAAAATCGTTTCGGATGTTGGACATCCGAAAATGTCATATTTTGGATGTTCATTATTCGAAAATAACTGCGAAATTCCAGAGACTTGTTGCAAATTCAAAGTCATACATTTTCAGATGTCCAACATCCGAAACCATTTTCGGATGTTGAACATCCGAAAAACCCTTCAATTCGGATGTTTAACACTCGAAAATGAGAATGCGAACATTAAACTTTCAGCTTATTTTCGGATGTTGAATACCGGAAAAATCCTCCAATTCGTTTACTCAACATCAGAAAAAGTGTAAACTCGTATTTTTAAAAAAATTACATTATAAAAAGTAAAAAACAAACATACATGTAATAACAGAAACTATTTGGTACATTCGTAATAACGTAAAGTATAACGGATATATATGTAATTTTTTCTTCTTTGTGTACCCCATTTTTCATCATTAACTAAATTTTTTTTTTTTTGTGATATTGTTACATTAGTTGAAAAATGAATTGTTTCAGTATATTATGACATATGTCTTTCTTCACATATTATTAGAGCCATAAAGGTGGTGGCGACATTGTTTTGACTCTTTTGGTGAAGAAGATTGGATTTTTTTTTTTTGTTGGTAAAGATGGATTCAAGTGGAAAATCAAAAGGTTTTAGTGTTCTGGGCTAGTATGATATTGTGATACGAATTGAGAACCGGATTGTCATGGTAATATAACATTTTGTCTTTCGCCATATAGCCTAATTGAAATATATATTTTCAATACCCAAATGTAGTGTATATTGTAAAACATTATCGGGTCATCTATTCCAACATTCACATCAATCAAACATACATCATTTTCGGACTTAAAAAAATGGGAGTTCAAAAAATTCATAACTAGGGTTGCATAGACGTTCTGCAACTGCATTATGCGGTGAGTATTCAAATTGCGGGTTTACTTTTTCTAGGAGGCCTAGGTTGCTGCATCCCTTATAAAATGATGTCGGGACATATATCAAAGTATAGTTGAAAGTTGAAATATTTAACAAATTATTAGAATTTTGATAAAACCAATAATGAATTGTGTGAAATTTAATTTTTGTTTTTGGTAATTTAGTGGGGTAGATAATCTCCTAACCGTTGTTTTCAAATAGATTAAAAATTCGCTTCTTACGGGTATTAATTAAGTGGGGTTCGTGGTGATAATAAAAACTAAAATTTAATGACTAAAATGTGGGGGTGCTACCGTCACGACTCTGATCTTTTCCTATTGAATAAGTAGGGAGAGGGCCATACCTTTATTAGGAATTGAGCCTTGATTAAGTAGGGATAGGCCCGTACCCTTGGTAGGAATTGAGCCAAAGAATTTTAGTTAAAAATTACGAGTAGAAACATTGGTAAGATCTTAAATAGCCAGGGGTTGATAAAAATTCTACTGACATTGTGAAATTAGACTAAAAAACGTGAGTAAAAAACATGGGTAAGATCTTTTAAATAGCTTTAGGTCGATAAGAAGTCCTCTAATAAGAACTACAGCAGCTTATAAAAACTCTCTTTTTTTCTCCCCCTTTCCTTCACAATCAACAACTCTCTCTCTACCTGCCTCCCTAACAATCACCAACTCTCTCTCTGTGCCTCTCCCTCACCATCAGCAACTCTCTCTCTCACTCTCTGACTCTCCCTCACAATCAGCAACTCTCTCTCTCTTCGATATCTCGAACGAACAGTGAAGGACTGGGAAATGGATGAGCGCACTAATAATTCCGGACTCGAAGAGGCCCTGGAGATACAATCTCTCAGGCGAATCATTAGCGCATACCTAAAGTAACCTCTCTCTCTCTGTAATTACATCTATTGGATCAATCTTTACCTATGTATTACAAAACACAAATTTCTCATTTCGACGTATTTTGTGACTTGGGTTTTCTGTTTGAAGTACCTATTATTGCCTTTTCGAGTTTTTCATGGTACCCATCACTGGTTTTCGATACAACCCCCAAAGTTGATGAACTATTGGGAAGTGTTGATTTGTAACTATTGGGAAGTGTTGATTGATGATGAAATGAGCTGTCGCATGATTGTTTATGATTTTTCTTTCCAATTGTGTGTATTAATGATTCGTAAGAAGTGCATTATGGTTTATCGGATGCATATGCTTGTTTTAGTCTTCCATAGGTGTTTTCTTGTTGTTTATTTTGCATTTTCTGGGCTAAATTTGTTCCATATTATGGAACCTAATATAAACATGTGCCTGAAAATTATTAAAAACTAACGATTATATCTGCATAACAGGAAGCTAAGGTGTGAACTAGTTTACTTAACGAATTTACTTGATGGTTGGGTCTAGTATAAAACGAATGTGTCTAAAATGGATGAGATGTTGGAATTGGCCATATTTAGTGACTAACTTACAGGAGTTCTTTGAGAAACTATGGTGTTCATTGAAAGAAAACTCTAGTTGTTTGAGGCAAAAGGACAGTCAAAGATGAAGAGATGTTATTATTCGTAGAACATATCCTTTACTCAACTAATGTGCGCTTTCGAGTTCCTTCTGAACATATTTAGGTGTTACTCAATATATAGAATTATAGATATATGACAGTCCCAACTCTGATAAGTAGTTGCGGATATAGTTTGCAATCTTTGTTTGTTTTTTGAAACATGATTGCCTTCATTTTTACTATTTCTGTGCATGAGTTATTCACATTCTCATATTAGTTAAATATTGTTGATGCTTTGGAGTTTGCTCTATAGTTGGATACCATGATTTGAAATTTTCTTTTTTAGTTTGCATTACTGTTTGGTGAAATGTATTGGCCTTTGCTATCATGTTCCGGGAGTTTTGGTCCTAAACCACAATAGGGATGGGCTGGCTGTTTCATAGAAAAATAGATCGTCCCTAATTGGTTTCTAAAGTTTGGTTGTCATTGGTGCTCTTTGTGAATCGTGACTACAATATTTTTTATTTTTATTTTGTTTGAATGGACAAATTGGAATAGTACAGAGAAGATCAGCATAGGCCCTTTGGCCCTATGGCTATAATTTGTTGATATTGTATACTACAGAATTTCTGAGTGAGCATTTTGTTTTCCTATTGATGCGCATATTTTGTTAATTTGCATCTCAATGTTTTATTCTATCGATGATTTCTTGGTTGTTATGTTACCATGTAACTTAAGGGCCATTGCATCCTATCCTTCTTTTTGTTGTCCTCTTCTTTTCAGTCTTCTCCAGGATGATAGTTATCAACTAAAGGAAAAAATGATGACACTTTATTTTGTTTGAGATTTATTTATGCATCATTTTTGCAAATTTCTGATGTGTAAAGCTTTTGATGCGAGTGGAATACAAGAAATCATCAGCAATGTGCATTGTTTATAAGGATTACTACCTCACTGATTCCCATTAATTCCTTGTCCAGCTATGCCGCTGCAGCAGAGGAGGATGTTCACAGATATGAAAGATCCTTTCACAAGCTTCCTCCTTCACATAAGGTATGCTTCATATATAGTTAATGCTGCTTCATAATGTGCAAGTGCTTTATTTGCCTCTACTTTTTGTTTTGGAATGTGATGAAGTAAATGCATTTTGTAATGGTTTATTTTTAAAGTTTTTTTGTTATCATGTTTGATGACTGATGAGAAAGTGAACTTGTAAGGGATTAGAAGCCTTTTTGATAAACAATAGAGACTGAAATCCCCCAGCCCTATCAAGTCCATCACCAGGTTAAACCCAAAGTAAAAAAGCTACAACTATCAAAGGAGAAATTTCCCAGAAACTACTCACAGTTGGTGGTACTGAACTGATTGGCTCTGACCCAGATTTGTAGAACTACTTTAGATGTTGGGAATCTTATTTTTCTTATCTTGAGAGGCCTTTTTTAGCCTTTTCTGAAGTCATACGTCTAGGTGCCATAAAAAGTATGAGGGCTGGAAAAATGCTAAAACTAGTGCGACAACTACATGTGTGTTATTTACTAATGGGAAAAGTTTATATAGAGCCGAGGCTCTAAACAATCAAATTTGAGCCTACCTCAAAAAATTCACTAGAAGAGGTTGTTTTGATGCCCAAATATCCTCAAATTGATCATCTCGATATCAAGATGCATGGACATGAGAAAAAAAATGGATTTCAAATTTTGGAGATAGTGTATTTTGTAACGCATTTTTGGACCATCAATTTTCAAGATTTTCATGTTTTCATAGATCTATCGATCTACAGTATTTTTGAAGATTTAAACTTTTTAAATAAAGATGTAAATATATTTTAAGGCTATCACAAATATTTTCAGTCTTGAAAGTACATTTCTCGACACTATTTGAAGGTAGGCTCTAATTTGATTGGTTAGAGCCTAGGCTCTATACAAACGGCACCCTTTACTAATTAACCATGATCATTGCATACATGATGACTTTCCTCCACTCTGATAGTGGTCTTGCCTTTTCAAGCATTGTTTTACCCTTCATGTCATTATTCATATCTCATGCAGGTAACAAGAATCTAGGTTTGAGTGTTCTTTTCCCCACAATAATTTCACTGTAGTACTTACTGCTATATATGTTTCTCTTGCCTTAATTTTCACTATATGGGGGCTGGTTAATAGTTGACTCAATTGTCTTTGCAATTTGTAGGTTTTATGGCTCTTACTTGTTTTATGTACTTGGTGCAGGCTCTTCTTCCTCACTATCTTTATAAATGTCGAAGGCTACGATGGTAAATAAATAGTCTCTTCGCCTTTGACTAAGTTTGAGGGAAAGGGCATTGTAGATCAGTTTTTTTGTCATTAGCTTTATTTTCATAGATATTGGAGCATGTGGAATTTTATGAAACTACAAAATAGGGGCTTGCTTTAGTGTCAATCTGTCTTCTCTTTTTATATGTTATTGCCTAAAATAAATTGCTCATCGGTGGAGTAGCTCATATAGATGAGACGGAAGCAACTTTGATTTGTAATGAAAAAATGGTAAAATATGATGGGGTATGGTATATAGTGTCCCCCAGGGGGCCATTCGCCATCCATTTGTGATGATGAATGATGGAGGTTATCATATTGGCGCAGTTTGGACATTCATTGCAGGGGTGGCAATGGATCTGTACCCGATGCGTAGACCTGACCTGGGTCCGAGTATGGGTCCAAAATTGGGCCCAACGGGTGGGGTCCGGGTCCAAATCTTGGATCCAAACACTATTTGGGTCTGGGTCCCACACTATATTTTCGGGTCTCAATTTATGAAATATACTTAAATACATAAATATTTCAATTTTTGGGTTCGGTCCGATGGGTCTGGGTTTGGGTATGATGAATTCGGGTCCAACCCGTTCCTGCCACCAGTTCATTGAGATACTGTTATCTCTAGCTTCCTTCACGACAATAGATTGAGGATGCTCCTTTTGAGTTTCAAAAACCATATTCCCTTCTCCTGTCATAGCCATAGTTTAATCACCTATACAAAAATGGAAAAACAGTTAAGTTAGCAAATTCCTTGGCCTAGCCGTCATTCTTTTGCGTATTTTCACTGATGTTATAATTCAAACATGGTCTCTTTCCATCCTGCCATGTCCAACACAATGATTTGTTTATCTGCTACCTTCTATGTATGAAAAGCAACTCTTGGTCAAGGTTTTTACTTTTGTGATTTTGTAGATGCTTAGGTTTTGATTATTTGCTTCCTATTGATTTTGAATTCTAAGTTAAGCATTTTGATATTAATATATATTAATAATAGGATTATAGAACTTTATAAACTTAGGAAACCAATTAAAATATGGGAGAAAGACGGATACACCTCCTCTCTATAATTAATGGTAATCCCCAATAAACCCTCGGGTCAATGGAAAGCCCTTGGACTCCCCTCCAAGTAAAAAGAAAAGGATGTTTACCCCCTCCTTACCGTTTTCATTGTCCAAATTACAACCCATTTATTTTTTTTTAAATCACCATCATATAAATAGAATTTGAGATGCTACTTTTAACCTAATTGTGAAGTTCACAAGAAGAGAGAGAGAGAGAGATTTGGGTTCAATGGAGGTTGAGAGAGAGAGAGGGAGGAAGGGGTTCATGGGTAGAAAGAGGGAGAAAGTGGGGGAGCTTTTCTGGGGTTTAGATGACAGGTCTTTAGAAAAATAAAAAGGATACATACTGTAATTTGGATAATGAAAAAGGTACAGAGGTGGGAGAGGGGGATATATCGCTTTTTCCCTTAAAACATTTGCTTCCAAAATACCATACTCGTCCATTTAATATTTCACCTCCGATGGTGATATCATTGACTACCACAACTAATTTTCTTGTATAGGTAGGAACAAGATCTAAATTCATAGAAATAAAATGTTAGGATCTTCACACCAATATCAAAGCTTTAATATATTGAGTAAATGCGTATCTACAAATGAGAGGTGAGAGCCCTGGAAATATGAGGTGAGAGCTTCTCTGATATGAGGAGTTACAGTCATGGCTCTGGTTTAAAAAGCAAAACCCTAAAACAAGCTTTGTGTCAAAACAAAAATAGTGTTAGAGAAGTAGGGTAGCTAGGGTATAGAGAGAGAGAGAGAGAGAGAGAGAGAGAGAGAGTAGGGGGGACGTGAGGGTTAGAGAGAGAAGCAAGGTAGCTAGGATAGAGAGAGGAGGAACGGGGGTGAGGAGGGAACTGTTGTTTTTGTTCTAGCTTGAAATGGATTAGGCGATTTTAAAATAACATATTCGTGTCTATTATGGAGATGCCTTATCCAATTTTTGAGAGCTGCATCTTGCAACTTTTTTTTTTGGAAAATTCATTTCTTCATTACATGCAGGAATTAGGATATACATTTTCATTTCCATCCCCCTGTTTATAGGGCTGTTAGCATACGGAGTTGGGCACCAGCCTGGTCTTGAGCTCAGCTTGAAACAATAGGGCAGGATTAGGCCAGGTCCTATATAAATATGGAGAAAAACATTTGATATATGTGTGTACTTAAAATTTTTTTGGGCTGATCCTCGACTAGGCCAAGGCTAGACAAGACCAAAAAACTAGTTTGGGCCTTCCAAGCTGGCCTTGGCCTGGATTGAGGGCCTTAGCACTGATACTACATGAAAGCCTGTTGGCCGATCTGCACCTGTTAACAACCCTACCTATTTTTGACATCTAAATTGGGGAGATCGGCGACCTTCCAGGAAATGCATCACCTGGATATGCATTTCCAGGATCCAAATGGCTCTTAGGGTGCATCTGATAGTAGTGGCTATGTGGAATTCCAGAATATAAATTAACAAACTTCTCTTCATTTTTATTGATGGTTGAAATTTCTTCTTACAATTGCCACAATACAATGCAAAAATAAAACTAATGCAGTCTAGGGTCTTTAAATCTTAGTGCCAAGAAAGCTTTATTTGAAAAATTGAAGTTGAACTTACAACTTAGAAAACAAAGAAAAAGAAGCAAAAACAACAAATAAAACTGGGAAGACTTACTAAACTTTTTGCCCCTTAGGATTTGGCATACCCAACATCTGATCACACGATTGATGGCGCCTTGATTCTTAGGTCCTGTTGAATCCAACAATCTAAATTGGGAAGCACCTCTTGGAACACCCTTATTTGAAATCTATAGGGCTGAGAGGGGTCACAGTTAGGGTTTCTTAGAGACCCTTTTTAATCCTTAGGGCATGTCACTGAGTGGCTACTGCCCTAGCCTCAGTCTGGGCTGTGCGTGCCCCCTTTCTTGAGAAGTGCGTGCAACCCCAATATTTTTATGGGGGATGGCATGCCAGAGAGAGAAAGAGAGAGAGAGGGAGGGAGGGAGAGAGAGGGGGTCAAATGTGTTGACATCACTGTTGGGAAAACCGGGCGATCTAACCGCTAACCGCCCGGTTAGATTGGAACAGGCCATTGGCCATTTCTGGTTTTTGGCGGTTTTGGTGATCAACCGATATTAAAAAAAATAAATTCAAAACAATGTATATGAATTCCCAAAAATAAGGAATTTGATTTGTAATGCATTTTTAATATTCTTTACATTATGGTAAAGATTAAAATTGTTTTGTTCATTAATACTCACTTTTATATTTTCCCATCTTTTTCAAAAAAATTTAAAAATACCCCTAGGCACAAATCGATTCATGAAAATCCATTTTTTTCATTAATTTTCAACTTCATTTGAATGTGTTTTGTTTTAACCTTTTTATATGCTTTTCATATTTTAGTAGATCTTTTTTTTGTATCTTTTTTATTTTTTTCAACACTTTTTTGATTGCCTGGGACTTGCCCGGTTAGAGCGGTTGAATCAACCAGTTTATCGGTTAGGCCAGTTAAACCGCTTCCGGGCCTATGTTCGGTTAACCGTTCCTATTCGAATTTGCTAACACCAGTTGACATTGAGGGGGGTTCCCCTCCTTATTATAGGCCTCAAGGACCCTAGGGTGTTCCAATCATAATAGGATTAAACATTATCTAAAAATATTTAGGTAGTTTATGCGGTGAGAAATAATCTGAGCCGTCCATCTCTGAAATCAGCTACCATAAGTTAGGGAGGATTTTAGGAACCTTGTCCCTTAAATTTAGGGAGGATTTTAGGAACCTTATCCCTTAAAAATAAAAACTTAGTCAAAATAATCGGGATCCCATAAAAGTTGACATTCTCCAAATCTAGATCCCATGGTATCTCACAAAAATTTTTCACTAAGATTATCTCAAGATAAATCCAACTAAGTATTATGCATGAATCAGAAATTTGACACCTCATAAATTTCCCAAATTAGTGGAAACATGGGTGTCCCACTAAGTGGGGGCGTGTGGCCATGTCAGCCTCACGTTCCACACTATGTGGGCCCACAAGTGTGGGAGCTGGCCTTTAGCCCACTCATGTGGGTCCCACCATGCTTGACCAAAATTTCGAAAACACCCCCATATGAGAATTAATTTTGGAAATAACCTTTTGGGAATTTTTATTCATTTAAAATCAATTTTAAAATTCTTAAAATAGCTAAAAGTCACAAAAATATTAATATTGTTGAATACAATATTTACGGGGTTCTTTAAAAATTTAACACACACATAAATGCCTCTAGAAGTGGATTAGTTCTATAGGTCAAAAATAAGTGATTGTCAGGGCACTCCAGTCGTGCTAGGATCCATGATTTACAACTGTCTTCTTAAACCAACCCGATGGGACCATCACTAAAAGTTAGCTCATGATTGGCTTGTCAAAGCTAGCCAAATGTGGATAATAAGTTTTCCTCCTAAGAGCAAGTCAGATGCACATGTCACTATAGTGCAAGGGGGCACTCTCTATATACATATACACGTCTCCCTCTGTGGGGTTGCTTCCCAAAAATGCGGTTGTCATATGTATATGTTGTGCGAAAGTCATATGAGAGCCCTCACTCTCATAAACCTACATCCACATACAAGAGACCATGAAGTTCACTTAACCCACAAATGATGTCCCTGGGCATCTCTCTGATTTCAACAAGGGATGACCAATGAGTCTCTATAAACCCTTAACGGCAGTGCCTATGCCTAGGGAAAGGTTTTTGGACATGACCCAGGCGATAGACCGCTGGACCCTAGGTCAGTCAACAATTACTCCTATTGAAGTGCAAAATTCATTATCATTATTATATTTACATGCTCTCACGGCTTTTAAAGGCCAAATAACCTTGTCTCTTAGGAGACATCCGTTTACTGTCATTACACATAAAAGATAAAAAAAAAGGCCAAAAAACCCAGCAACATCCATTGCTCAAACTTCATATTTTCCAGGATTGAGGATCCATAAATGCTCTAAAACCACACATATCGATTTCCATCTCAGCAAAATGATTTGGAGCTCCTAAAAGGCTACAAATGTGATCAATCTGTTAACCATTGAAACGATAGTCCAGATCAGGTTTTCAGATGGCTGTCAAGGTGTAGAATGTTTAGGACTCCAAGTCCTTTTTTCTGAAAGTTGATATTGGAGGGTAGGAGGATGAATTTGGAGGTTTGTGGCCCTTGCCCATTAAAAGATTGGGTAAGGTGCAACCAACTTCTCTGGGTGAGGCTGCAGTCATATCAAACCATTTTCGTGGTATGTTTGGTTATTTATTAGAAAACGGTAATGTGTGTTTGGTATTTTTTTCCCCTTCGAATAATATGTAAACACGATATGATGCATGTAGTTTTCTTGAGTTTGAGATACAATAGTTGATGGATGTAGAAACTGAAATAGATCTTAACTGGTGGCCTTAATCTTGCAGGTGCATCTCTGAGAATGGCTATGTCATTTTGAATATGCTTCAGGTTCTAGTCATTCCTGCTTATATTTATGCATCCATCCATATATTGCTTTTTACCATTCTTTTTCTATGTACTTGTGGGGAAATGCTAAAGTAGTGCCTGGAACATCTGTACAAATGGTGTGCTCCAGAAATTTGAAATACGGAAACCGAGCTTGGGAGAGTTGCGTTGTTCGATATTTGAAAATAGGCAAATAAGGTTTTTTTTTTTTTTTTTTTAAATGCTTTGAATGGAAAGGGTAAAATGATTAGGAAGGCATGGCTATGAAATTCCAAGTTGCAGGTGCACCTGCATGATTTACACAGGTGTTCCAGGCACTTATTTATATCTTCTCTTTATTGTTTCCTAGCTATTCTTCCATGGTTTGGAACAGGATGTTCCTGCTTATTTGATTGCATTAATATCAGGAACAATTTCAATTGCCTCAAAATCGGTTTTGTTGTTTCTCAGAAGTGAAACACTCCTTTTCTGATATCAACTTGGTTGTTCAGTGAAAATTTGGTTATTATCTGCAGGCTTTTGAACCTCCTATTGACATGACACGGAATCTTGAAACTGGTGAAAATGAACCTCCTGTAAGTATTTGCACAACCTTGAATGAAGGCAGCTGTTCTACTGATGGGGAAAGCACAAGGTTGAATCAGACATCACTGAAGAAGGCTAATATTGAGGTTCATGGAAAATCCGTTTAGAATTTTATAAACTTAACTACCATATGCAAAATTTGTACCCGATTTCAAGCTTTCAGTGAATGAATAAATATGCTCATAATTGGAAGATACCCTGAGGTTTTCTGTAAATTTGTTTTAATTGGGAATTTGACATCTGTAGATACCAACAGGCGTCATCCATGGGAAATTTTCGTGATTCAGATACGCGAATCCATACTGCAACCTGCAGTTGTAGCAGTGCATGTGGTGCCTGTGACGATAAAACTAAGGTTTTTGGCTGTCAGACATATGCTTACTCTGTTTCAGAAGCTAATGGAAAGGTGTGCTTGTCTCACCCTAAACCTATATCTTATTGTAGAAACTAGAAACCTTTAAGAAATGTTAGTGAGGCTTGATCTTTACTGGATTTGGAGTATGTTTAAGATTTTTTTTTTTCTTTTTTCATAATTATGGTTAACAAGTTTTTTTCCTTATGCTGTGCTCTTTTAAAGAACGTAAGTTGTTTCATTGCGAAATTTTGTCTAAATTCAACCTTTTTGTATGTGTTTTGCTTATCCATATAGCACTGTTAAATATATCATCTATTATCTACAGAGATGGTTATTACATTCATTATTTGATATCATACAATATGAGGTACCATGGTGCATGTTGTTCGTAGATGACATAGTTTTGATCGATGAGACCTGAAATGGCGTAACACAAAGTTAGAACTTTGGTGAGATGCTCTAGAATTTAAAGGTTTTAAAATTAGCTGGACAAAGATATAGTATATGAAATGCAAGTTTAGTAATAATAGGAGCAGATACGTGGAAGTAGTTGATATTAACGGTTGAGAAATACAAAAGGAGCGCACTTTCGATATCTTGGGTCAATAATCTAGAAAAAAATGGAGAGATTGAAGATGTCGCACATAGAATTAGAGCTGGTTGGGCGAAGTAGAGATGTGCAACCTTAGTTTTATGTAACCGCCGCATATCAATGAAGCTGAAGGGAAAGTTCTATAAGACAGCTGTGAGACTAGCTTTATTTTATGGGGCGAAATGTTGGGCAATAAAAAAACAACATACTTATAGAATGAGTGTAGTTGAGATGAAGATGTTGAGATGGATGAGTGGCAAGACAAGAAGGGATAGAATTTAGGTGTGGCACTAATAGGCGATAAGATGAGAGAAAGTAGACTTAAGTGGGTTGGCCATGGGTGGCGCAAACCTAGTATAACACTTATTAGGAGGTACGAGTTAGTTCAAGTGGAAGGCTAAAAAAGCGTGAGGAGTGGGCCCAAAAGGACATGGTTGGAAGTAGTGAGAAAAAATATAGGGGCTTATGGTCTCACTGAGGGTATGACCCTTAATAGAGCAAAAGTAAAGCCGAACCCAATTAGTTGGGAAAATGCTTTGTTAATGATGATGATGATTTGATGTCATACAATAATTTTATTTTTTACCTTCCATAAATTTTGTTTTTGTGGTAGTCACATGGGTATGACTTGTTGAATGTCATTTGGGCCCCAGAAATGGCCCATTTCACCTTTAATTTCACAGGCTTTAGTTGATGAGTGTGTGTGTGTGTGTGTGGTACATGTGATGTCTGTGTGTTTGGTGTGTTGTATGTGGGAGGCGTGGGGGATGGGGGATGAAGACTTGTTGTATGTTGCAACAATCATTCCATCATCTTCAGCTATAAAGATAATCGGAAATCATGGAATTAGTGGTACAAAATTGGCAACTTTTGATTGTGGAATTTGTTTTTTTATACCTACTGTGTTTCAAATTCGAATATGTAGAGGTCACTGGTGCTACATGATCAATTTGATCTTTTTAGTGGAAGTATTGTGCTAGAGCATACATATATAGTTATCGGCTTGTTATTCAACATACCAGTAGAGTGCAGCCTCTAGAACAATTACTCTTCTACTGGGCCTTGAAATTTGATCTCGTATGCTCACATATATGAAGGTCAACAAATGACTTGAACTCCCTATGCTATTTTTTTTGTGCACAAGTATACAACTTCCATTTATGTCTTCCTTTTAGCTTATTGTTAAAATTCCCAATTGCTTGTGTATTTCTCGTTGTACCAGTATTTATGCAATATGATATTGGTACTAGTATCGGACACCCAGGGTATCAAAAAGCACTAGGAGGGTCTTAGGCAGCCTTGGGGGTCCAGGCCGCCCAGCGCTTAGGCGGGCGCCCAGAACCTGGGTGGCTGCCCAGTTGAAAAAAAAGTAAAAAACATACCAATATACCATAGTCCAAGTTGAAAAACAAAAAAAAGACATCGAGAAGAGAATTTTGATAATCCATATTGTTAAAACAGTAAACTGTAAAACCATACAAGTGTAGAATATAAAAGCCAAAACTCAACACAACAGAAATATACAGAAATTTAGAAAATATACAGTTTAACAAAAGTCAACACTCATGACTCAACACAACAGTTAATAAACTCAACACTCAGCACCAAGAGGCAAGAGTCTTCAGTCGTCGTCATCATCATTATCAGAGGGAATATCAATAGGGCAAGCCTCATCATATGCATCAGAGTTGAGGCCATCATCATCAGAGTCATCTCCCTCGTCAATATGACGCTCATCCTCCTCTTCTTCTACCTTCCTCTTACTAGTATGTGCAGTCTGTACAGATGAGGTCCTAGGAGTCTTGGCTTCTCTACCCTTTTCTTTGTGCTTTTCTGAACTCAAATATTGTATAATTTCCTCCTTGGTAGCCTCAGGAACATTTTTACACGAGGGCAACATCCCCTTTGATACCGGCAATGTGTTTTTTAAATCGGTAGTGCCCCCATTAGTATCCTTTCCACAATAATTACATTTAATACGATTTTTATCACTTGGATTCGGGTTATAACCATACTTCCAACCCGGATCACCACTCCGACTAGAACCTGGAGAAGATACTTCCATAGAACAATTCTTATTTTCATCATTTTCTGGTTCTTCAAAATTCAGAAAATGTCTAATCTCATCCCGAACTGCTTCAGGAGCCTTTGTACAAGAAGCAACATTACCTCTAACACCAACAAGGTGTTTTTTGAATAGGCTAATAGCCCCATTGATATCTTTTTCACAAAAATTACACCTTATACAATTTTTATCATTTGGTTTTGGGTTGTACCCATAGTTCCAACCTGGATCACTTCTTCTAGAAGTAGCAGAAATAGAAATAGATCTATGACAAGGATTTTGTTCTTGTTTTTGTTTTACATAACTTATAAATTGCTTAATCTCCTCTCTGATAGCTTCAGGAACATTTTACAAGGGGCAACATCCCCCTTAATACCGGCTAGATGTTTCTTAAACCGGTTTATGCCTCATTTTGTATCTTTTTCACAAAAAATGCATTTAACGCAATTTTTGTCATTTGGATTCGGTTTGTATCCATATTTCCAACTCTGATCTCCACTCTGACTAACTCCTGAAGAAGACATCTCAAAATAAAACAAGCAATCTAAAAAATGTACTTATTTTTGTTGCTCAAACTCCAAACTTTGAAAAACACTTCGATGATTCGATCAAATGAAATGCAGTTTTTTGGAGGTTTCTTTCTCTCTAAAAGGGGTTATTGTGGGTTTAGGTTTCAAATGAACCTAAAACCTATCATTCTAAACTTTTATATCTGGAAAAAAATGAAGAAAAAAAAAAAAAAGTACTTTTCTGCCTCTCGGCGGGGCGCAAGCCTTAGGTGGCAGCGGCGGCGGCCTAGGTCTGGGCGCTGGGTGGCTGCCTAGGCGGGTTCTGTATCGCCTAGGCGGCCGCTCAGGGACCACCGCCCAGTTTGGCCGCATCACCCAGGCCTTCTGGACCGCCTAGGTGCTGGGCAGTCCGTTTTTTTGAACAATGCAGACACCCTTAAGATACTTATAAATATGGAGAAATTTGTAAAGTGTAAACAAAAATATGAAAAAGTAAATTGTGTGACAATCTTAGATACCCTCTTAAATATACAAACACAAGGATGGATGTGGAGAGCAAAGATATGACAGAATTTCTTAAAATCCAGGATATGGAGAGAGATACAAGTATCCTATCTGACACGATGATAAATATATATTGTAGCTTGCCGAATATGTGAATATATGTACTCAAGGCATTGATGCATATAGATACCATATAGCGATACATAATATTTTATTGGGATTGTATACTATGAGACCATTTATCTTTCTTACGAGGAGGTCACAATTACTCCTAGCCATTGGATAGCTTGGGATATGCCACAAAGTTCAAGAAATTTTTTTTTGAACGTTGAGTTTAGTCAATGACACACTCACAACCACCTAATTTGAAATTTGAAGCACGAGTGACTGTGACCTTCTTGTGTTAGAAGTAACTGGTCTCTTTGTATACTTTTCCTATTTTATTTATTCATATGATAGATTTTATAGTTGTATGATTTTATATTTACAAGTATGTTAGGAGTGTCTGGTATCAATGTCAGTGTCAATACAGGACGACACTGGTACTTAAGCATATACAAGTATACATGCATCATAGGTGGTAATAAGAAATCTTTATGAATCACAATCCAATGTATTGTTGTCATAACTTAAAATGATTTTATGGAATCCTTTTAGCTTTTAGCTCGTAGTATTTCATACAAAAATCATCCTTTTCTGTTCTTAAGATTTTTGTTTTCAGGGTTATTTATCCTTTTTTTTTTTTGAAGGGTGATTGTCCGACATTTGATTGGTGGGACCCTTCCTTTCAGCTTAATGTCCCTCTAGTTGATGTTGATAAGGTACATGCATCTTCAGATAGAATATCATCCTCATCCATGGCAGTATATATATTGCACGTATACAGTACAACAGCAAGTCTGCTGATGGTAGATCCCCCCCCCCCCTCCCCTGTTTCAGGTACGCTGCATAATAAGAAACATAGTCAGAGATTGGGCACCAGAGGTATTCATGTTCTTCGCTCTTGCTCTCCTATCTATTTATCTGTTTACGAGAATAACACTCCCACTCCCTGTATATATATATATATATATTCGTTACTAGGGACAAAGAGAACGCGATCAGTGCTATCGACCTATTCTTGAAGAGCTCGATCGTTTATTTCCCACTCGTAGGAAAGACAGGTATACGGTTTCCCTTGCATATTGTCATATCGTGGTTGGTTTTGAATGATACTTGGCAACTATAAATTCATTGAAAAGCATACTATTATCCAGTGAACTATGAAAAGCACATGGTCAAAATGTGCGGTGATTGAGCAAGATGATTGTCTATTATGTCATTGAGTGGTTATCACCCAATAGATTATAGGTTTCCCATGGTTCAATGGATTATGGTATATATCTTTCCTGGATCCATTGTATAGGCCACATTTATGTTCATTGCTTTTGAACCCATGACATAAAATGCAAGAACAAGAGATCTGAACCTGCATGTGATTCAATTCTTTTTTTCGCTATTAGTAACTTAGTATTGTGAGAAAGAAACCAGTTAAGAACTTGTCCAATCTTTGTTATCATCACTGGATTCCTTCAGTATCACATGTAGGCATTGCCTTTAAGTTCCGCTTCATTGGCATTGGAGTCTTAAACAGTAGGAGCTAGCCGTGTATCTTGTTCAAGAAATCGTATAGACCCTTGATTAAATACAAGGAGAGCAACATTTCTTCTAAAATCCTGCCTGCACGATAACCCTAGAATCAGTTTGCATCATAGTTTAAAAAGATTAATGCTGCTCTAATATAATGTTCAAATTGTTATGGTTAGAGGTATTATGATAAAACTGTTGTGTAGGCCTCCTAGTTGCTTGGTACCTGGTGCTGGACTTGGTAGGCTCGCATTGGAAATCTCCTGTCTGGGTATGTTACTCTTTCTGCACACAAACTGTGTATTTTTTATATGACCTTTTCCCATTTAGAGGACCTTATTCATCATTTTCTGAACAGGTTTCATAAGCCAAGGGAATGAATTTTCATACTACATGATGATCTGCTCCAGCTTTATACTAAACCAGTGAGATGATTTATATTTCTTGTTATAATTTATGTTTGGGTGAGGATACTATAATGCAGTGGTCTTTGAAAACCATGATCCATTGGGGTCAAGACTGTCCTGTGAAATGATGGACAAGACTGTCAAGACTCACCATTCTCTTTTGGTGGCTTTCACTCTCTCCATCACTTCCCATCTTTTTCAACGGATGGTCTTGACTCCTGGATAACTGTGGTTTCCATAATCCTTTGGCATATAGTATACTTTCCATTAAATGTTTTTTATTTATGCTTAAAAAGATCATTTATTTGCTATTAGGTCATTCATTCAAGTACTTCAACATCCTTTTCTGGCTCTTATCAACTATAAAAATGAAAAAAAAGGACTTCTTTACTCTTTCCTTTTGAATTCTGAGTTTCGGAATTTCATTTATTGTCTAGTACTCAGAGACAGAGAGAATGGACAATTTATCCATGGATCCATAGCAACTGTAACTCACTGTCTGACAGAGATCAACTTCGACCTGTTGAGTTCCCAGATATACATCCTGCAAGGTATCTTTCCATGGCTCTCTGATAACCGTGGCTCTTTGATATTGTCTGTTCTTTAGGTATCCATGCATGAAATTCCCCTTATCTTTGAATCATGGAATGAAAGAATAGAATCCCTCATCTGTTGAAATCAAAGTAAATCCTAAAGTATTAGGTAGTTTTCAGTTTGACAATGATTAATGGCAAGAAAAGTCAAATGTTATTCCATGGACAATGGGGAACCATAATTCACTGGGGTAGTCCCATCAAAATGATGGTGCCGGAGAGATGGTGGACCATCCATTGGGGTCATATCCTGTTTTTGGGGGTTCCCACTCCCTCTTGATCTCCGTTCATCATTGTAACGATGCCCTATGAACTATGAACAATGTTTTTTTTCCCTTGTAATAAAAATGTGAGCAGTGTTCAAAACCTCATATCCACTTTTTGCTCATTTCAATGTAACTTGCAGGATCCCTGGATTTTATAAGGAAAGACTTGGCTTCTCAAGTTTCCATTTTTTTTAAAATTAAATAAAATCTGAATTAATGCCAAATTATATGTTGTGGGTTTCGGTAAGCAGTTGTATCTCTCTCTAGATTTGGTCTAAGTTCAATGCCTACTGTTGGACACACACGCTGATAACGCTCACACTCTCTCTCTTGCATTTAGAATTTAGCAAGTTCTTTCCAAAACCGAAAAACTGGGGCAATTCGACTCAGTTTTGGCTGTGACGGAGTCCTTTTATTTTCATAATTGGGTTATGGTATATCTTCCCTTTTCTCATTGACTAATACATTTTGTTATCATGTACACCGCCAATGAGCTTAGAAAATTAAGGGAGCTTAAGGTTTTTGTATGATGTGTATAGTGACATGGATGATACAGAAGATTTTCCCACTGTCTTAGCAAACTGGACAGCCGAAATAATTAGAATTTGCTAGCAGTGCAGGAATAACTGATGGCTTTTCAATGTGTGGTGGGGATTTTGTGGAAGTCTATGGTGATCAAAGTCAAGAAGGTATATAAATTACTTTTTCTTATTTAGTGTTATATTCAGTGGTTCTTTGCATGTACCATACACAACATATGCATGTAGAGAATTGGTTGTGATGTACTTATTTGAAAAAGGGTTATACTAGTTTGAGCATATATCTATGTTAACTTGAAGTGGACGATACTCCAAATTGCAAAAATATTTGTTACAAAATGTGCAGGCTTGTGCCTGTGGGATTGACAACATAGGAGACAAGGTTCTCATGTGCCCAATCCAATAGACAATGGAAAGGACATTGTTCACTGAGGTAGTTGCTCATCGATAAAATGATGGGCTGTAGGTAGGGAGAGAAAAAAGAAGAAAAGAGAGGGGGGTTGGGGGGGCAGGACATGACACTGTTCCACTCTCTTTCCATCACTTTCCCTTTCATGAGATGTTAGATATTATAAACCAATTGACAATGATAAGGCCATTGTCCGTTTAGGTGGTCACTCACCGATAAAACAATAGGCTGTAGGTAGGGAGGGAGAGGGTGACGGGACATGACACTGTCCAACTCTCTTCCCATCGCCATCCATTTCATTAGATGATGACCATAATGGACTATGATTTCCTATAGACCTTTGTCCAATTAGATTCTACTGTACTTTCTCTAAATACATTTATCTCTCACCTTGCTACTGAGGCTGGGGCACCTTTTACTGATTTTAGTGTCAAAATCTTGCATGATGATTTTGCAGGTTCATGGGACACGGTAGTCACCTGTTTTTTTATTGATACAGCACACAATGTTGTTGAATACATTGAAATCATATCTAGAATCCTCAGAGATGGAGGAGTAAGTTACTCTTGGTTTATCCACTTGAAAAATTTCAGCATTATTTACCTTCCTGATTACAGCCACTCCATATAAATTGTTGATAAATTTGTTTTGAGTTGATAGGTGTGGATAAATCTGGGTCCCCTACTGTATCACTTCGCAGATTCTTATGGCTCAGAAGATGTAAGAGTTTTGTTGAAATGATCCTTGTTTGCCCCTAAATATGGTTTGTGATGAATTATAATGAAGACTGCGTGTCCTTTCAGGAAATGTCTGTCGAACTCAGTTTAGAAGATGTGAAAAGAATTGCCTTCCAATATGGGTTTGAATTGGAGGTATCATGTCTGTTATGATCGCCTCCTTTTTCTTTACGAGATTTCTTTTCCTCTAGTTGTGTGCTTTCTTGGTTTATGACTTAACATTGGAACATCCTATATTTGCATTTTCTCTGCATCCTTACCGCATTGAAAAGAACTTTCTTCTTTGTAACTATTGGTTATTAATCTTATGAGTTGCAGATAGAAAGGACCATCGAGACAACTTACACTGCAAACCCTCGGTCCATGATGCAAGTAAGTTTTTATTTCTGAAAGATGGGTGTGACAGCTAGGAATTTAAAAATTGAAGGAAAATTTTGAGTCTTGTGGGACCAACTTGTTCTCTGAAACTTTCATTTCATGTTTGTAACAGCCCTATATCAATTTATAAATGGAGAGAAGGAAAAAAAAAAAAAGGATTCAGAGGTCAAAGAAGTTCCCAGATCTCCTAGACTGAACCTGGAGTCTGCATTTTGATGAGTGTTAGATTTGGGGAATTTTGAATTAAAAATCAGTTTCTTTTTATTATATTGATTTTAAGATGCATCTATGTTTTAAGAAAATTTTAGGATATATAAATCCCGCATAAGTGTTTTGGTCATGCGACCAATAGAATCGATCCCATAGGATCACCTAATAAAGACGCGCATAAACTAAAGCCTCCAAAAACCTATTTATAATGGTGCATGGAGTGAAATGAATTTTTTATACTTATTTTTTACTCTTCCAAGTACCTAGGCCTATGTTATGGACCCTAATCTAACACACTCTTTCTTGCGAGGAAAAACATTCCATTCACCCACGTGCAGGCTACTACTTTGTTCACCCAAGGACAGGCAACAATCTGATCAAGTACAACTAATCTTAGGCATCCATTTAAAATGTAATGGATTGAGTGGGTTACCCGCATATTCCCTGTTACCCCACTCAAATCAGGAGGGACAAAACACCAAAACTACCCACCCTTTGAAGAAAGCTTGTGTTCCTTGATAGGACTAGGATTTCAACCATGCTCACTGTATTTTGATCAACCCTTCTGCATCTTTAGCTGAATCAGAATGGTCTCCTGTCATGGCTGTATCTTCAAGCACAAAGCTATGGTTACTGATCCATCCATTCTCAAACCCTTGTTTGTGTATGTGCGAATTGGATGTTTCTGTACTTGTAAAGAAAGCTCGATAGGTTATCTTTTTCTATTGACCAAAAAATGAACCTGCAAATTGATTGATTGTGGATAATTATAGCACACATGAGGAAAGAAGGAGAAGCGAGCAGAGATTTTGGAGATTGGCAGGTTTTTTTTTGGGGGGGGGGGTGGGGGTGGTAAGAGAGAGTGGTGTACACATTTTCTTTGCATTCGACTTGAGGGGTTTCAGAGGATTAGAGGGTTGCCTTTTAACCTCCCAAAACACAATGAATTGGGGTGGACAACATATATTGAATGAGGGAAATTGAACAGCTCTCTGCCTTTTCCGGAGACTGTAGTTTGAGTCGTCTGACCTTTGGCTGTCGACATGTTTTCATACTCTTAATAATAATTTGCTATAAATAGATTTATTATACTGTACAATAATTTTTTTGACAACATATGATTCTGCTGTATGTCATGAATTGCAGAATCATTACTTTGCGGCTTTCTGGACTATGAGGAAAAAGATACAGTCTCGGTCACAGTTACACCAATAGCCTCACGTGTGTCGCATGGCCCAAGGTTTCCGATCTCCCTCTTATCTGTTTTGTTAATTTTTCTCTCATTCTAGTCTCTTTTGTTACTCGTTTTGGTTCTACCCTTTGCATCAGACATGACATCTTGTATTTAGTTAATTTAGTCTCGAGAAGTTTTACCCTTTCGCAAGGGGTATGTTCTCAGATACTTAGTGTGATATCCCTGTGAGAATTTAGTTATTTTGATTTTGATTGGATTTTGGCGAAATTTTTTTGGTGAATGATTTCTTAACTAATAGATTTTACAAAAAGATTCAGTGTAAGAGCACAGGTATGAATGCTTGCGCCTATTATTCCCATTCTGGAGATGAAACCAAAAAATGTGTGGTTGCCTGAGATTTGAATTTTGCATGGTGCTTGCTTAGCTTTCTACTAGCTTTGTACCGGCGTCTGAAAACTTGGACCAGTGGGTGGAACTGGCTGAGTTGGCGAAGTCGAAAGAAAGAGGAAATATAGAAAAATATGGCAAGAAAATTAAAAAAAATGTAAAATCAAACATTAGAAAACAACTATTCCATTCCATAGACTAGTGGGTGTAAATAAAATCAAAATAAAAACCAATATAATAATTAATTTGGTAAGAAAATGGCAGAGGGCAAAAAAAAGCTGGAATTGAGCTTTGATTTTTCTTTTTTTTTTATCCAAGCACATTTTATAGGGCTTTTGTTGATCATTTTGTCGAGAACATTTTGGGACAAATTTGGATGGTGAAAATCAGCAAGAAACAAATATTTTTGATTTCCAGTTCATAAAAACCTAAAAAATTTGGACTCTCAGAAAACTGTGTGTGCATGCATGTGTAGGTCACTATATTCATATTTGAATTGTTTGTTCAAGAGCGAGAAAAATGGCATGAATTGGGGCTTAAAATTTTAAATTTGAGGTAGATGTTAGATGGGAAGGCAAACTAATCTCTGCAAAACCTGGTCAAAACCATGGAAGCCAACAACCGTAACCAACACCTCTTTTGCCCTCTTAGGCCTTGGTCCTTTTTCAAGATCTCTCTCCTATAAAACGATCAAATCTTCTTCTCTTCAATAACTTCTGCTCAACCCTCTCTCCTGTTAAGCTCTCTCTCTCTATCTTCTAACATTTTCTCTCCTCTCTCTCCAGCCATGGGTTCAAGCAAGAGCTTCCTCCTAGCAATGCTGGTGGTTCTATCGTTGCTCAGTGGCTTTGGGGCACGCCGCTTATTAGACACTCCGCCCTCTGCTGCCCTAACCTTACCCCTTGTGCTGCCTGTACCCTCGACAATATCGGCAATCCCGACAACAATCCCTTCAATTCCCACGACAATTCCGAGTATTCCAACCAACATCCCTCCTCTGCCCTCTTTCCCTTCTTTACCCACGACAATTCCGAATTTCCCGACGAGCCTTACGCCGTTGCCGTCCCTACCTTTGTTGCCCGTGACAATCCCGACAACCATCCCTTCCATTCCTAACCTCCAAATTCCATCCATACCTATCGTGTCCCCACCACCTCCCAAGCCTTGAGCTGCAACGTGGTGAGTTTTCATTGTTGATGTGCCATGTGGTGCTTGTTGATTGGACTACGTTGCTTTCAATTTTTTTCAGCTTGTCTCGAGAGTCGGCACCACTGTGTGTTTGCTCCTTTTATATGACCTTGTATGTGTGTATGAGTTGAGGAATAGTTTTTTTAATATTTCTATATCCAAACATGAGATCTGTGCTTTGTTTACTTCACTTCTTGTTATAAGAAAAGAATGAAGAAAAGAAAAGCTCCATTTATTATTTTTGTACCAGAGGAGTTTGTCACCATTTATCTTCCACACAAGAGGTCACAATTATTTTTACTTATTAGATCTCAAAATGGATAGCTTGATGGGTGTTATAACGTTTGAATTTTTCTTTGGAACTTCGAGTCAAGTAAATAACGCATTCACAACCACCTGATTTAAAATTCAAAGGATAAGAGGGATTATGATCTCCCTATGCTAAAAATAAATGGTCTCTTGATACATTTATCCAATTGAGGATTGCATATTTCCCATTTGAGGATTGTATACAATGAGATCATTTAGTTTTGATACAAGGTGGTTATAATTGTGAAATTTGATAGCTTGGATGTTACAAAGTTCGAAAAAAAATTTCTTTTGAAGTTTGAACTTGGTCAATGGAATAATTGTGACTTCCCAATTTCACATCAACATCCAATGGTCAATATTAATGTGATTATCTTATATCTAAAGTAAATGGTTTCATTCTATTCTTTCCCTAAAATTAGGAGGCTGACATAATGTGAGAATTGGGTCTATGGGTCATCACTTCAGTGGATTGTTTGCTTGCAATGTTTTAATCTCAGCTCAGGCTATGAGATGGGGACAATAGCAAAGAGCTTGTGGGAGGGGGAGAGAAGGCACGTGGTGAAGAGAGGGAATGTACGGGGCACGTGGCTGAGAGAGTAATCGCTGAAAGAGAGAAAGGGAGGAAAATGTTTAACCGTACAAAATATGGGTGCGGTTTCTATAATGTTGAGGCCTTAAACAATCCAAGTAAAGCGCACTCTCAAATAATATCAAAGGATGTCGTTTTAGTGCCAAAAATCTTTTTGATGTTTTGAAATTTTATTTTGATATCTAATTATAAAATTTAAAGCTTGTAGTGTAAATTTGATGGCCTAGATAATGCATTATAAGATGTGCTATTTCTAAGATTTAAAGTCTTCGTTTTTTACATCAATGTATCTCAGGGTCGAGATGATCAGATTTGAGGGTTTTTCGGCATTGTAACAACATTTTTTTATGAATTTTTTAGGATGTGCCTTAGTTTGGTGGCACAATGAGTTGTAGATTTTCAATGGGAAAAAAGGCTTATGCTTTTAGAGCAGAGAGAGAGAGAGAGAGAGAGAGATATAGCGGTGAAGGAGCGGGGAAAAAGCTGGTCAAGAGAGCAACTTTTAACAGAGGATGATTAAAGGGGTAGAGAAATAATTAGAAGATTAAAACAGACAAAAAATTCATAAAAGATGGAATATTAGAAAAATTTACTTAAAATTAAAAATAAAAAAATAAAAAATATGTGATCATGTTTAAAACTATCATAATCATCTAAAAGTTGTATTTGTAGATAATGTATTGGTGTTTTTTATTTTATTTTTGTTTATATATGTATATATCGAGTTGGACGCCTAACTCATCTCGCCAAGTGGCTGAGTTGGATCCCAACTCGCCTCGCCAAGTGGGCAAAGCTGAGTTACTCGCCCAAGTCCAAGTGGACTTGGAAGAGTCATAGAACGCTGGTTCCTTGTGAGGCGTTGAATTATCGATGGCACTGCATGGCATAAAATGTCGAGAACAAGAAATAGTTTGATTCATAGAAAACCGTCTAGTGGTCTTCACAAAATTGCCATGTCGATCCCTAATACTAAACATATTACTTTAAGAAGTAAACTTCTTCGATCACAGTGCCCATTGTGTACTCCTCCTAGCCATTATCCGCAGGCTACATCTCTCCGTGATTCCTTGTCTTGTTGAAAGAATGCAAATGACTACGGCAGAGATTGTCTAAAACAATCTTTTTCTTTGGTCTGGACTTGGCACCGGCCACGGTAGAGAGACCTGGGACCGATTTGGGATTAATCTCGAACAACACTAGTTAGGAAGGGTGATTTGGTTCAAGTAAAAAGCTCTAAAAGTACAAGAAGAAAATCCAAAAGGACATCAATGAAAGTAGTGATAAGAGATATGATGATTTACTGTCTAACTAAAGTATGATCCTTGATAGAGCAGAATAACCAAACAATATTCATATAACTAACCCTAAATAATTGGGATAAAGCTTGGATTACGATAACGATTATAGCACAAATATTAAACCTTTCATAGCGTAGCCAAATCAAAGAGATGCCCTTGGAGTTGGGCTAGCCACTATTTCTCTCAATTATGTAAGATGGAGGAATTAAACGAGAACAATGCTACAATAAAATGGGAGTGAATGGGACTAGCCAAACACAAAAAGGCATTATTATAAAGCAAATTTACTAAATTAACTCATTTAATGTCCCTCACTATTGAGTTTAGGGATACAGTTGGTTCTGAATGGCTATAGCAATTAGCTAGGAGCATAAGAGACGAGTGCTTCAATTACTGCACTTTTAGGAACTTGATGCATTGATTTTGCTGGATTGGTTCCATAGCAAAGAAAGGTAAATTTCTGATGTTCACAGGGATAACATGGAGAAATTGAAGGTTGGGAGGACGATAATGAGTAAAGATTTCAAAGCTTTGAGATGTTGAGTCTCTGCTACTTGTCCAAAGTTAAAAAATATATGGGGCTGTAGGGGCATGAATGCTTACAGAGATGCCGAGCATGACAGTGGTCTTTAAATGGCATGGAAAACAACTCAAGAATTTGGAAGGAATACATGCTGGGAATGTTCTTCAGAAATGGCATGAGAATGTCACTCAACTATTTGAAATGAATACATTTCGAGGATTGTGGAACAGAGAACTTGATGGAAGATGAAAAAGTGGGATGATGATGTGTTTTTATTCCCCAGTTGAGAAGGTTAATATTAGTAGAGCTAACAGAGTAACACAGTATTTGCTGGCAAAGTTGTTCGCTGAAAAATGTTCACATCAATTTTACAAAGATACAAACACATTTGAACAAAATGGAGCATATCACTTATGAGGGATTCTTTTATTTAGATCTTGGGGGTTATCACAGTTTCAAGATATATATACATTACCATCACTATCATAATCATTAGAGCTTTTTTTTAACTATTTGGGCTGGCAGCACAAATTTTGATATGCTATTCTGCTCTATCAAGGGACATACCTTTAGTGAGGCCATAAATCGTCTTATCTTTTCTCACTACTTCTAACTATGTCCTTTTGGATCTGCCCCTTGTCTTTTAAGTACATGCAGATACCTTATTTATTTACATTAAAAATAGATTACATCAAAACACATTTTCTAACCAATTTCATAGCTAGAGGACAAAAAGTATACATCAAAAGCAAGAAGTATAAGCCTGGAGAATATGACACATAGACTATGCACATTCCTAGCTACACTATGCTTACTTCAGTCTCCTTTTCTTGCCTATTCAACAGCTCCTTTATGCTCCGTTATCCTTGTTCTCCTTCTTACTATCTTAGCTTGTGTATGACTAGGTCGTCTTCTCCTTTCACCAAACCTATTGAAGCATTTATATAGGCTCTCATGAATATGCTTCAATATGATAGTTCATATTGAATATTAACGCTTTTAGTCTTTTTCGAACAAGTCTCAAAAAAAAGGAAAATTATCCCCTTCTAATTACTGTTAGACCACACCATTAGAAATATTTTCTAACAATTCAAACCTAGTCTTTGTCCAATCTATGCTCGTTATGTTTAGAGAGAGGTGGACACCGTGACCATGATCACAGTGACAAAATGGAGATTGGAATAGAGAAGGTGATTATTCACATTCTCCCAAAGCGTTGTTTAGCCCGTTCCTCCCATGCCATAAACTCCCTCATAAATCCGATAAAATTGCATTGATATAGAGAAGATTAGCATGGTAGGCGCTCAAGAACCTTTTGCAATGTTTTTCGAGCGCTGGCTGGCCGTCGTTGGGTGTGGTCTCCAACTCTTCCATGAGCTCCTGAAGAGGTTCTTTTGATACATCCAAATTCCCTTCGAGCCCGTCATTGACCTCGAGCTTCAGTTTTGCTGCCATCCTGCTGTGTTTGTAATGAGAGCTGCGAGACAAACAATTTATACACAAGGATATGATTTTTATGAGTCAGCCGATAACAATCCTCCCAGACATGTCTTTGCATGCCTGTACTCCTCTTCTATCGCATCGGGTATCGTTTCAATTTCGCTGACCGCAACCAGTCAGTCTCTTGTCACGCTGGTTCGGATGTTTCCTTTCCTTTCAGCTGCCTCTAAGGAGATCATTTCATCATTCTTCGGATCCTTTAGCTTACCTGTTACAGTCTTCAAGGCCTGAAAATTGTCCTTAAAATCTGGGGAATAAGGGGATCCACCGTATATTTGGTTACAATGTGAAAGTAAATGGAAGAATAGTGTTGAATCTTGGTAAAATTAAGACTAGTAATCAGAGAAGAGAGAAGGAAGAGGACCCTTAGGTGATTGTCTTAAATGGAGTTGCATCTGATTATCTCCTCTCCCATTTGCTAACTTCAATTGGTTTAAATGAATATTGAAGCGCATTGAAAAATCGTTGATCCAGATAATGAGAAAAACTAAAGGCCATGCCTATTCATGGTTGACATCGACAATTCAACAACATATAGCGGTGTTTTAAAACCTGGATTGGTAGGGTGAACTGGCCATCAGGAAATGTGTTCCGGATTGAGGTGTCTTGCCTATCCTCATTGGCAAATCGGACAAGTTCTCCGGTGTGAGAATCAATCCACAAAATGGAAAAATTGAAAAAGAATAAAAAGGAAAAAA